TATATATTATATAAAAATACATGAATATATATTATGTATATTCACATATTAAAATTTAGGAAAAAAAATACAAATTTAGTTTTTCTTCAGACACCAGATACCCTCCATATTTTTAGGTACCTTTTCACATTTGGAAATATTTGAAAGAAATATTTACAATATAAAAGATTATCAAAAGTAAAAAGCAAAAACATAAATAAATCAATAGCCATTTATTCAAATGATATACCCAAACTCATTTAAGTACATTTCTTAAAAATCATGAAATTCATACCTTTTAGCACATCTATTTTTTTCTTCAGAAGTGGGTGCATTGCTAATCTGGCAACTGCTCTTTCATTTGCAGTTGAATCAGGCTGCAAATTGAAATAATATACACATGGGAATAAAAACAATGTGGCAATATTAAGAAGTGAATAAAATAGAATATGTCATAATTTTCGAAAATCAGAATCAGGGAACAGCAATTTGTTAATATTCTCACTAGATAAGTCACCTGTATAATCCATGCTAAAGATAAATAAAATTCACAGGGAAAAAAATACTATTGCCCTTGAACTATTATAATTATCATGTAATCAATAAATATTCTTTGAGTACTTAATATCTTTCCAAAATTGTGGTAGGCACCATTTGTGACATTAAAAAACAAAGTTCCTGCTTTTAAAGAGCTTAAAACATCAAGTTAAGACCAAATATGAAAGAATCAAATAACGTATAGCATTAAGCTGGTGATATAACTTATGACTACTATAATGTTTGAAGTTCCATTTAAGAGACCTGGAAATTATCTAATTCTATATATTTACATTTTCAATGTCTAGTATTACTAGTGCATTCTCATAACTTTCCACCACAGTGCCTAACTTACAGTCAGCACTTTATATATATCTGATAATAACTCAATGGGTACAGATTATACATAATATTTAATGTATTTATGAATTTAGAAAATCCATAATTCAGACTAATTGCTTTAAATATCATCTGTAGGCAAGCTGACAACTTTCAAATTCTATCGCCAGCTCTAACTTGAGCTACAGACTCATTACCCAACCTCCTATTTGATGTTAAAAGATACCTCTGATTTTCTTCTCAAACCTACTTCTATTATAGTCTTTCCTGTCTTATTGTATAGAATTTCAATTTTCTGGTGGCTTGAGCCTAAAACTCTAATGATTCTTCCATCATATTTCTCCTTCCTTTACAATTAATCCTTCAGCAAATCCTGTGATTCCATCTACAAAATATATTTAACCAGTCACTTCTCACCATCTCTACTCTTAACTATCTTTGACCAAATCGCTAACATTTCTCACTTGGACCAATGTGATAAGCTCATACCTGGTGATAAGCTCATACTCTCCTTTGCATCTTGGTCACTCAGATCCAATTTTCCATACAGCAGTCACAGTGAGCTTTTAAAATGTAATCAGGGCCCCTATCTGTTCTTCTTTAAGCTTTACTGACTTCTGATACTTGGGCCATTACACTGCAAGCCCTTCTCTACTTCCAAATATACACATGGCTGAACATCTCATCGTATTCAGGTCTCTGCTCAAATGTTATCTAAACTAACACAACACGTTCCATCACTCCTTATTTACTTCATCATCTAATGCCGCATGGTAGTGCAGATATTTCCATATCTGTAAGGCAGGGACTTTGTCTCCCTCATTGTTATAGCCCCAGTGCCTACAATAGTAACTGGTGATAATTATCATTCTATAAACATTCTATAAAGCAAGTAAATAAATTTCACTAGTGTGTGAAAGTAGAGCCACTAGCTTCAAACAACTTTATTTTAAATTTATCCTTTATTGTAAATAGTCCAATACAAGGCTTTTTCCCTCCTTCCAGTGAGGGAAAAACTTATGAGTACCCAAGTAAAAGGAAGATGATGGCAGTTTGAAATTTATTCTGTTGGAAGGACTGATCTAGGCAATGTCACCCGGAATAACCCCTTTAAATTATACTTGGTGTAAATCCTGTGCCAGGACCATCTACTGTCTCATTACCTTCTGTACCGGGTTGAATAATATCTCCCTAAAATTCATGTCCAACTAGAAACTCAGAATGTGACCTTACTTAGAAACCGATCTTTGCAGATATAATTAACTAAGAGGAGATCATACTGGATTAGGGTGGACCCTAAAACTAATATGACTGATGTCCTTTTAAAGAGGACATTTGCATACAGAGGCACAGAGAGAGAAGGCTGAGGCAGTGATTAGTTATCTTGCCACAGCCAAGGAAGGACTAGGGACACCAGAGGATGGAAGAAGCAAGAAAGGGTTCTTTCCTAGAACCTTCTAAGGAAATACAACCCTAATGACACCTTAATTTCAGATTTCTAGCCTCACGAAACATGAGAAACTAAACTGTTGTTGTTTTAAACCACCCAGTTTATAGTACTTTGTTACAACAGCCGTAGGGAAACTAATATACCTCGATTCTGACTCTTACACATCATCTTTGTTCAACTTTCTCCAAGAAATGTAGTCCATTTGGAGACCATTCATTACATAAAGTATTAAATCAATTTTCTACTTCTTCAATCCCTTGCTGAGTTTCCTGATGTAATATAGGACTTCTTACTCGTTTTATCTACCTTGAAGAGATATGACGGAATCTGGGAAGGAAGCCTATTGCTGGTATCCTGAGTCAGTCAGTAACAAGCTGGGCTGCTGAACGTATGGGTCAAACATGCTTACTTGAGTTTTATAGAAAGCATATTAAAAGCTGTAGCACAGAACTCCCAATGAAAGACGTGATTTTTTCAGGCTGAAAAAGTTCAACACGATATATATAAAAATAGAGAGTGACATCAGAATATTGGGGTTTATAAGCATTTAGAGAAAAACTCCCCAACAAATCACCCCCCCAAAAAAAATCAAATCACTAAAAAAAAAGAAAAAAATCAGGAATCAGAATCAAAGGTCAAAAGGCAACAGAGCAATGTTTTTAAATTTCTGAAGGAAAATGATTTTCAAAATAGTGAGAATAAATATACTTTCAGACGTGCAAGGTTTAAAAAAGTTTACATCCCTTGAACCTTTCTCTCAAGAAGCTACTGGCTCCACAAAAATGAAGGAGGATACAAAAAATGAAGAAGGCCTGGGATATAAAAAACAAGAGATACAGGCAAAAGGAATCCCCAGGATAGTGACAGGAGATTTAGATTTAGAATACCTGGTGTATTAAATAAGTTTAGAGGAGATTTCAGTAACTGATAAGTTTGGTGTTATACTAGAGAGAAGATAAAAAACAAAATAAACATAACAATTATAAATTATAGGAAACAGAAATATTATGTAGAAAAAGAAAAATAATAATCATGCATTACATGACTCAAAGTCAAAATAACATCAGGAAATGTTCATCTAATCTAAATTTGGCCTACGTATGTATATTAGGAGGATAGAAGGGTATATATATGACATGGGGATCTAAATACTTATAGATGACAGCAGGAAGTCAACAGCTAATGCTTAAAGTGTATTGATACACAGACTGATGTGGGATAAATTCCATAGAATCAACTAAAGTTCAAAGTACAGAAGAACTAATAGAGAACTGTTGTTTTCACAAAAGATTATGTAGAAATTAGTATTTGATTCTCAAAACCGGTGCTTGGCAAACTGGCCGATGGGCCAGTTCTCACCTGCTGCCCGTTTTTTAAAATAAAAGTTTATGGAAACACAGTCAAATTTGTTCATTTACATACTATCTATGACTGCACCATGTCACAGTGGCAGAATTGAGTAGTTGTGACATACTGCATGGCTTGCAAAGCCTAAAATATTTACTATCTGGTCCCCTTACAGAAAAGGGTGTGGCATCTGCTCCAAGTTATACACAAGTAGAATCCTTAGTGGTGGTAAAACTAAAAAATTAGAAAAAAGAAAAACTTTTAGCAGGCTCATGACATTTAAAAGTTAAATTCAAAATAAAAACATCATCACCACAGAGTTTTGTTGACAAATTAAGACAACAGGTTATAGCACCAAATGCATTAAAAGTGCTTCCTGAATGGTGACATAATTCGAGATTCTAGCTTAGTAGAAACAATTTGGTAATTACTGCAAAGGCAATAGTTTTAATCCTCAGGACAATTCACAGAACATTTATATGTAAAGACAACAAAAATAGCGAGTCTGACAACTATTATACACACTCCAGGAACCTGCCTTTCCCTCAGGGGAAAAAAAGACATTGCAGCAGCAGCTATTTACCTTTAAATTGCTCTTTTCAGTCTATTTTCTGTAGCAACTAAAAATTCACTTCCAAGATAATCCCCAATATATGAACATCTGTATTTGTATAACAGAAATATCAGAAAGTAACTACTCTCATCACATTAATTTCACATTTTTAGATAAGAAAGTCTGGGAATCCTAAATAGATTTTGATAAAATATATTCATGTATAATTGTTCAAAACATGTCTACTATTGTTCTTGAATCTCTGTTTGGCAATTTGCTAAAAGCTTTGATGAACTGGGTGTTTTTCTTTCCATAGTTAGCTATATTTTCCTATCTTAGTTATAAAAAGTTTTAGAAGAGCAGTGGTAATATCTGTATATCTAGTGTTGACTCTAGGTAAATATTGTTTTAAGACCCACTTTATCATTGAGTTTATTTACTAAAGTTATTTCTCTATCCTGGAAAATATCCCAGAGTGACTTAATTATTCAATTTCGGTAAATTCTATTTATGAAAAACTAGAATAAGTTTCAAATTGTACAATTATGTATTAATCTAATAAATGAATTTGTTATTCTTATTTGTTATATTTGTTCCTCTATAACTGTATTTTATGTTCCAGCCTTTGTGGAGGACTGATTTGGGGGAACATACCAGCTTAATAAGAAGTGAGACTGATTTGAAAAGGGCTGTTCATTGCTTAATTTCAGGGTTGTACTCGCACTCTAGTTGTCAGTTCTGCAGTATATATAGCCTATGCGGCCATATGTAACAGCAGAGCATTCAAATAACATAAAGGCTTGAGATAGGAAACTGGCTAGGTATTCTTGAAATCAAGTCAAGTCTGTTAGTATAATTGTTAGATAAAACCTTTGGTCTGTGTTCCCTTTACCTCGTGTTAAAATTTGAATTTAAAAAATTAAATGAATGATTTCTAATTGCTTTCTGAAGAATAAAATTAAAGGAAGGTTAAATTGGACATTTTTACTTAGGAGAAATTTTTAAAAGTTTATTTAAATGATTGCTGTAATTTATAGAATTTGATCATTTTGAACTAAGACTTTCTTTAAATCAAACATTTTAGAAACTACATGTACCAAAGTCAGGTTTCTGAATTCAGTCTAGTATGAGAATATTTGTTGAGAAACTAGTTTTCTCCTAAACTATTTGAGATAACTTTCTCTTATTTTGTGACCTAACTCCAAGTCACTCTTAAACCGTTTTTGGAAAAAAATTAAATATAAATATAAAAAAGAAGCTTGTGAAACAAGTGGGCTCAACCCTTGGTAGTAGTGCTTTGGGTCTCTGCTGCTATTTCCTTAAGTGCAGGAACTCACAAGAATTAGCAGTGCAGTCCCTGCCATGAAAGACTTCTATTCCTTTATCTCTCCATATTAATCTACTGTCTGTCTTTCTTCTACCCTCTTTATATCTATTTATAGCTTGTATCTGCATAAACAGGGCATTATGTGAAGGCTTGGTCTTACAAATGAAGACAAAAACACCATCTTTTGAAGCTCATGACCTTGCTCTAATTTAAAAGGTTAAGACGAATGCAGAAATAACTATTCCAAGGCAGAATGTGATAAACTTCATAAGAGACAGAAAATGCTATGAAGGTTTATAGAAAAAATTCAAATACAGTATGCCATACATCGTAAATTTAAATAAATTTATTTTGAAGCTTAAAAGGCTAAGTAGTCTCTGTGAGAAAAGTTTTAACACCTGCATTAAAGTCTTCTCAATATTGAGGAGTAAGAAAGAAGCCACAGCTTTCCTTATTTAAAGCTGACACAATGTTTGCCATGGAAAGTTCTCAGGAAACTGTGGCTTAACACACCTTCAGTTTCTTCCATTTCAAATAAATTAAATAAAAAAGGGAAAACACCTCATCTTTTAATGGAAAAATTTTTTATTTTGGCATATGGTTATTTACTGTGAACACAAAGCATTTGGTATTGAATTTTGAAAAGAATTTTGAGAATGTACATGTGAATATAAACAACGGTCTACAAATGAAAAAGCTCTGTTACATGAAATGTTCATTCCTTTGAAATGATGCCTAAAACGAACTGGCTCTAAATGAACTGGTAAAGGTAGAATGCTAGTAGCAGTACTTTTGATATTAAGTGTACTTAATTTCAATTCTAAGTTTTACCTAAAGATATAAATCAACATGCTAATATTTGTACTTATTAAAAACATTTAGAGACATAATAAGAAACAGTCCATTCAGCTGGATCTGAAGAATTGTGGCAAACTAAGGCTTAGAGTTCACATTTAAATGGGCAGGCAACCATTATATATACACTGAACTCATTTACATAATTCCTATGACCCTGTGATTCTAAAGTGCAGTCTTATATATATGGAACCGGATTCCATCCTTTTGTCCTAAACTTTCATTTTATAGACAGAGACCTAGATTTAGACCTTGGACCTGTCATTTCCTACAGGTACATATACTGTCTCATTTGTTAAATGGGGTAATCACCATCTTCCCTGAGAAAGCTAACATATATACAGCACTAAATGAGTCAGGCAACTGTAGATGTTAACAAAGTTGCTTCCTCTCACCCTACAGTTGTTTAATGTAACTGTCTTTTATTTTCTACTGGATTACATATTCCTTTAGAACATATTCTGTGTCTCCTAGTCCCTTCATAGCTTCCACAGTGCCTAGCTGATTGCTATGTATGCAACAGATATTTTGAATTGAGATGCTCCTGAAATTCTGGCAACAGCAGTCTGGAAATGTCAGTGTTTCTGTCCCTAAACTCTCTAGCTTTAAACTCCCATCATATACATATTAACTGGTTACTTATTAACCCTTCTACTCTCTTTCTGAATTTGAAAGATAAATACACTATCACTATTGCTATATATACACGTGCACACATACACACATGAATACTTTCTATATGAGATCATTGTTATAAGATCAATTAAGATAAGAATGTATAATTGTTCAAGCTGTAAGATGTTACACAAATTAGTTTATTGGGTTCTATTCTGATGGTCAGATAACCTCAAATGTGCACAGCTCTGTGTAATAGACTTATTTCATATTTGGTCATCTTCCAGTCAGCTCCCTTCCTATGGCAAACTAAAGAATAACAGTCCTCTCTTTACAACATTCAGCTGCTTGCCTCATTTTTGTTTTAGAGGTTTAATTTATTACCAGATTTTGATATGAAAGAACCTGAACCCAATGGAAAGATATCACAAATGAAATAAAATAGTAACAAAACAGTTTAAATCCATCAAGAACTTAGATGAAACAGAACTATTTTCCCTTCCTCCCTCTCTACCTCTTTTACTTCCTTTCTTCGGAGGAAGGTACAAAAGAGCAGAAAATTAATCAGGTTTCACAAAGTGTTGCAAATGGAAGATGATACCCTAAAATTTTACACATATTACACATATATTTTACACATATTACACATATATTTTACACATATCACACATATATTTACTAATATTAACCTTCCAAAGTGAAAATCTGGCTGAGAAATTTAAAAAGGAAAGACACAGGATATTTTATTTTGGATATTTCCAAGTTCAAGTTATGTAATAAAATATTGCCAAGTTTTACTGTTAGGGTTTAAAGGAAAACAATATTATTAGAGAATCAAAAATAAACTGCTTTTTACTCTCACCACAAATTAAATGTTAATGAAATACTTTTTAGAATTTAGTAACCAGAAAGTTCAAAAAATATTACAAAAAATATTCTTTTAAAAATCTTAAACTACTAATTTATTAAACTCCCAGAGAAAACAGAAATATATTCTGCCATATTTTTATATATTTACCACTATCCTATTTAACATGTCAATATTTTGTGTGAGATATGGATCAAACCACAAGTTTAAAACTATAATACTAGTTCTTTCCTCTCATTATGAAACTTATGAAATAATATTTACTGTAAAAGTGTAGCAGTATAAGATAAAGACACTATTGTAAAATCGTGCTCATGACTCTGGTATTGCTTTTCTGACAAGGACAGTAATGGCAACAACAAATCCTCTCACCCCTCAAGCAAAAACCTTTCATATTCGGGCCTTCTTAAAATAAAATGCTTTAACATTTAACATGTCTAACTAGTATCAATTAACTGTAGAGAAGTAAGTGCTAGTCTACATAAATATAGAATAAGAGTATTTTTTTCCTTAAGCTGGAATAGGCAACTTGACACTTATAGCTGAAGATTCCAACATACCTCTTTTGGTAATCAATAAAACAAGTAGGCAGAAAATCAGTAAAGATAGAAACCACATGAACACCATCATCAACTAATTTAATCTAATGACATTTATAGGGCTCTGATCCCAAAAGAATACATATTGTTTTCAAGTGCACATAAAATAGTTACCAAGACAAGCCATACTCTGGACCATAACACAAATAAAGTTAAAAGAATAAAAATCATAAGAAGTATGCTCATGGATCATAAAGAAAACTAAAGTAACTAAAAGATACCCGGAAAACCTCCTAACTGCTCAGAAATTAAAAATATAATTCTAATTAAACTATAGGTCAAAGATAAAGTTTCAAAGGAAACTCAAAACATTTTGAACTAAAAGAAAATGAAAATATAACTTATTAAATGTACGGGAGCTAAAGTAGGGCTTAGAGGGAAATTTATAGCATTAGATGCTTACGTTAGAAAAAGTAATATAAGCTCCCACATTAAGAAACTAGAAAAAGAGCAAAGTAAACACAAATGCAAGAAAGAAGTAATAAAGATCAGAGTAAATGTCAATGAAAGTGAAAACAGAAAAGCAATAGAGAAAAATCTATCTAAAATCTATTCTCAGGTGGAACTGTCTTATGTAGGCATTAACAAAGTGGGCGGAAATGCAACAGGCAAATAGAAAGAAACAGGAGAGGCAAATCCAAGGAATTGAATCCAAGGATTCAAACTGTGCCACATAATAGTGGTATATAGTCTTAATCGGTTACTTCATTCTTTTAGTTTCCTCATTTGTTAAAAGAAAAAAGGGTAAAAATAATCTCTCACAGAGTAAATATAGGGATTAAATGAGATAGTCATAGAAATTATTTGGAAAGAGTAAAGACTCTTTGTTCTAATTAGTAAGATCACTAATTGTTAACTATCACATAAATGTCACACTAAATATAAAATGCCTTTAAGAACCTTGAAGGTGTGATAACACAGCAAAGTAAATTTCATAAATTAACATAAATTTTTTTTTTAGTGGCAATATGAAGCTCAAGTGAGAAAAATCATTATATACTAATAGTAACTGGCTTCTTTATAAGTTTTCTTATCAAGAAAAGCAGTGATGAGAAAAAGTCAGTCGAAAATATAAATAAGAAACTTTTCCTAAAAAAATACAATCCACTGCAGATATACCTTTTTGCAGATTTTTTCAAAATTGATATCATCACCAAGAGCAGATTTAGTTATTACATCAGGTTTCAATTCCTGTAAAAAAATTAAAAAAAAAAAATTTAGTTATGAATCTAAACTATTAAGTTACATTCCTTCCCATGTTTTGCTTTTAATAAATTTGATATTAAATAAATTTTTAATTTTTAGAAGAGAATAACTCCTATCACACAGTAAGAAATTATCATGCTATGAAAAAGAAGCCATAGAAAAATGTTTTAAGAGCTAATCCCCCGAAGACAATTATATTCAGATTCCATAGAGGCCAGAAAATTCAATGCGCTATAAATCTCCAGAATACTAAAAACATTTCTTTAATAAAAATAAGATTAAAATAATTCAAAACGTTAATTTAAGACTTCTTAAATTTAAAGAGATTTTTACTTATTTTAATGACATTATAAGACACTGACAATTTCATCATAGAGAAATGTAGAGATTTAGAGAAATATTTAACTTTAACTTTTAAACAAATATAAACTACAAGATATTTTTATATTATGCAAGGAATTAATCCACATTATTTTAGAAAATTAAAAAAAACACACAGAAAAGCAGAGAGAAAAATAAGAAAACTTAATGGCAATGTTTACATGGTTATTTTATCACACACCCTTCTTCATGTTCAAGAGAATTTTAGTTTGATATTCATTTCACTAAGGGAAATTAGTGAACGGATGAATAGATGGATGATTTTAAGATCATACAAAAATGAATTTTTTCTATATTAACAGTTATCAGGTTTTCCTAATGTACGTGAATATATATACAGAGTTTCAACAATTCCAGCTTTCTGGCTAACTATTCAGAAGTAGAAGTATACTCTAACCAGCTTAGTTTTTCAAGTACATGGGAAGGAAGCAAGCAAGCTTGAATAAAGTCAGGCAATGAGCCATCCAGTCAAAAAGAAATGGCCTGAGGAACTACATGAAATAGTCAGGGAATAATTTATATTAACCTTTGTCTTCCATTTCTTTCAATGAAAAATGGAATGAAGAGCCTAGAGTGCAAGTTCTTCAAGGGTGAGAACAGCATTTTATTCAGCTTTGACTATTAGTCCCTAGTACAATGTCACATTTGTTAAACAGAATTGGACTAGAGTGAAAAAAAATTTCAAATGCCTATTTCTTGGTAAGAAAACAGAAAATCTGAAGAAGTCAGTAAAGTCTCATCAATATAAAAGTCAAATTCAGGATTTTTCAAAGAAATTTTAGTTGCCAATGTGGGCTTTTTGTTTTAGAGAAGCAAAACTAAAGAGAACAAATAAATACTGGAAAAAACAGCCAGGACTAGTAGAGTGCTGCAAAGTACAGCTTTATTACATTAATATAATTTTTATTTATAATGGAAGAAGGCAAAACACTACTTAAAGACTCACTGAAATATAGATACTATATTGTGAATGGCTAGAAACTACGTTAGCTAATAAGCCAATCAATGCCAGCTAAAAGATTGAGACTGCTCTGAGAAAAGATTTCATGCCAACTGGAAAACTAAGATCCATTTCTAGACCCAGCAATGCACATTTAGATAGCAGCTATGTGCCTATTCCAAAGAAATTTACATGTATATAGTGTTGAAAAGTCATTTGGTCCCTTTTTGCGCCACACTTAATCATAGTTAATAAAATATCAATTGAAAATGTGAAAGAAAAACAGTTCAGTTTATATGGCAATTTTACATTATGCCATTTCTTGTGTATGGAATTAATTCTAAGTAAAATGACTAACGGGAGAGGAAAACTAAGCTTTCTTTTATACAAAACTAATTCCAATGCATTTTTTTTCAGATAAAAGTATTTCTCTTAAATTTTAGAATGGTTTTTCTTTCTTTAAATTAAATATAACCATTGCAAATATTCTGCAATTTCAAATACAAAATAAAATGCATTATTCCATATGGTAATTTGCAAATTTTATAGCAAAGTCATACATTATGAACTTGGGAGAAAAAAACAAACCCTAAACTTCTATTAAAAAAATGTTTTTGAACATTTTAAATCAAAGAAATTTTAAATATGACTCAAACACATTAAGTGGCTAAAAAGAAAAAAAAAGACATGTAGATACAAATAGAATTATTCTCAACTAGAAAACCATGAACCAGAGTTCTGGTCAAGTTGGTGTAGTATGTAAACGTTATGCTTGCTGCATCTCATAACCATATCAAAATTACAACTAAACTACAGAACAGCCACCATTGATCATTTGGGAGTCGTCTGAACTCTAGCTGAACAAAAGTCCTACAACTAGGGACACATATAAGAGGCCAATTCCGGACTGGTAGGAGAAGGCAGAAACGCCAAACAGGTTGGCCCCACTCCTGTGTGTGGCGGTTGAGAATTGGAAGAAATATCTCAGCTGTGGAGGTCCCCCTGGAGGTGTGAGGGGTCGCGGCCCCGCACCAGGCTCCCTAGCCCGGAGTTCCAGTGCCAGGAACAGAAGTCCCCACAATTTCTGGCTGTGAAAAACAGTGGAGTCTGTGGCTAAGACGGAGCACTACAGGAGCTGAGACTCCTCTTAAAGGGTCCGCGCACAGACTTACTCAGAGACTGACTCACTCGCTCTGAGCTCTAGCTCTGGGGCAGCTACTCGAAAGGCACTAGGAACATACAAGGAGGAAACGAATTATCTGGCTTCAGGGCGAGGGCTGGACGGCAGCTTTCTCCCATACACAAGTGCTGGCAGAGGGCACTATTCTTTTGTTGAGCTCTCCCCATTTTGGCTCGCAGACCCAGTGGCCACCAAATCTGTTGGATCTCCAGCGTAGCTAACACTGGTTGCCCCAACCTGTTGAGTCTCTGAGACCCTGCCCCTCCGAAATTGCAAGCCTGCCCTAGCTGCTTCCAGTGGATTTTCCATACAAACGGCTTGCCTGGGTTCATGCTGTGCATTTTCCTAAAAGCTCTTAACGGTTCACAAAACCTAAATAAGCAGCATCTGGTCTCAGCATGCCCTGTACCTCTTGCTGAGCAGCCCTAGGCCCAGCACTAGCAGCAGCAGGCCTCACTTTGTGACTTGGCCTCTCAAGGCACTTCCAAGCTCACTGTGGGTAGTAGCCATCTGTGGATTGCTTGGTGGCTCATGCTATGTAGCCCTGGGCAGGGCACAGGCTGCAGGTGAACTTGGCTCACGGCAAGGCCCCTCCCAGGAGGCCCTGGTCTGCATGCCCAGTGGCTGGCTTCTAGCACCACCTGGGATCACATCTGAGAACGACACACCCAAAGGGCAGACAGGGCAGGCACCAGAGCCCTGCTAAAGTGAATCTTGCTCTATAGGATCATTCCTACATGACTGCTCCTCCACTGGTCACTGCCAGTCCTCACAACCAATCAGCTCGAGGGTCAATCCCTTCCATTGACGAGCAAACAGAAACCAAGACTCGACTACAACAGGAGGGCACACACAACCCATACAAGGGACATACCTGGAACGCCCAGCTTAGGTGACCAGGTAGGTAAGACTGTGTCACTGAGCCCCAAAGCACACCTAGTACATAAAGTGACTCTACTAAGACCAGGAGACATAGAGGCCCTACCCAATACATAGAAACAAACACAAATTGGCAGCCAAACTGGGAAGACAAAGAAACATGTCCCAAACAAAAGAACAGAACAAAATTCCAGAAAAAGAACTCAACAAAATAGAGACAAGCAACCTACTAGATGCAGAGTTCAAAGCACGTTTTATAAGGATGCTCAACGAACTTAGAGAAAGAGTAGAGGAACTTAGTGAAAACTTTAACAAAGAGATAGAAAACATAAAAGTGTAGATAAAAAACATAAACAGGAATCAGTCGGAAATAAATAATACAAAAACTGAAATGAAAAATTCCTTGGAAGAAATTAACCATTGCTTAGATGAAGCAGGGAATCAAATCAGCAATTTAGAAGGTTAAGGTAGCAGAAACACCTAATAAGAATAGCAACAAGAAAAAAGAATCCAAAAAAATTAGGATAGTTTAAGAGGCCTCTGGGACATCAAGCATATCAACATTAGCATTACAAGGATACCAAGAGAAGAAAGAGAGTAAGGAATTGAAAACTTATTTAAAGAAATAATGACTGAAAATTTACTTAATCCGGTGAAGGAAATAAGACATACAAGCCCAAGAAGTGCAGAGTCCCAAAAAAGTCTCAAACCCAACGAGGCCCACACCAAGACATATCACAATCAAAATGCAAAACGATAAAGACAAAGAGAGGCTCTTAAAAGCAGCAAGAGAAAAGCAGTTAATTACCTATAAGGGAGCTCCTATAAGACTATCAACTGATTTCTCAACAGAAACTTTGCAGGCCAGAAGAGACTAGCAGGAAATATTTACATGGAAAAGTGAAAATCAGTAATATAAGCTTCCACATTAAGAAACTAGAAAAAGAGCAAACTAAACACAAGCCAGGATCTATAACCAAGATTACTCTACCCAGCAAAGCTATCATTCAGAATCAAAGGATAAATAAAAAACTTCCCAGAAAAGAAAAAGCTAAAGGAGTTCATCACCACCAAGACAATGTTATAGGAGATGTTGGAGGTACTTCTTTAAAAAGAAGAGGAAAAAAGGAAAAAAAAGGAAAAATTATGGATAATAAAATGGCAATAACTACATATCTTGCAACCACTACTTTAAACGTAAATGGATTAAATGCTCCAATCAAAAGATAAGGTGGCTAAATAGATATGGAAACAAGACTCACATAAGCTACCTACACGAGACTCACATCAGATTGAAAGACACACACAGACTGAAGGGTGTGAAAAAAGATGTTACATGAAAATGGAAACCAAAAAAAGCTGGGGTAGCAATAATTGTAATAGCAAACAAAACACACTTTAAAACAAAGACTATAACAAGAGACAAAGAAGGACCCAGTCGTTCTACTTCTCAGTATTTATTTGAAGAAACCCAAAACACTACTTTGAGGGGACATGTGAATCCCTATGTTCATTGCAGTATTATTTATAATAACCAAGATATTGAGGCCTTCTGGGTGTCCATCAATAAATGAATGTATACAGAAGAGGTGCTATAAATACACA